ACTGTTTACTAAAATGTTTCCAAATCAGTCAAGAAGGAGACTTCTACGAACAATTCTTTGCTCTAGTGCATGAGGGGAATATGATAGAGTAATGAGAGAAGTTCTAGTATTTCTCAAACCGATTGGGAAGGTTATCAGAGACTGTGCTGGAGGGAACTTTATGAAGGGGCTCAAGCATGATATTCGAGAAGCTATTCGAGTACTTAGACCATGTGGCTTACGAGAGGCAGCCAAGCTAGTGCAGAATAAGAACTTCTTGGATAGGAATAGTTGTAGCAGCAATTCAGGAGTCTCCTACAGCACGACCACTACATTTCTAGCACCAACTGTGTAGGCGTGCAGCTAGTAAATTCAAAAAGAAAGCCTAAGGATAGAGGTCAAGAAGTACGACCGGGGGGGACTTCATGAGGTTAAATGAGTCAAAATTCAGGAGAAAAGGGCTAAGGGTTTATGCTTTAGGTGTGATGAGAAGATCGCTCCAGACCACCATTGTAAGGACCGTTCATTACAAGTCCTGACAGTCTGCAATGAGGAAGATGCCGCAGAAGAGGAAGTAAAGGAGGAAGATGATCACCTGCACTTAGATTTTGCAGAGGTATTCCTTAACTCAGTGGTCGGGTTCACACTGAACAACACCATAAAGGTTAAGGGGAAGATCGGGCATCAGGAGATGGTAGTACTGCTGGATAGTGGAGCTATCCATAACTTTGTTTCCAACAGGAAGGTGGATCTGTTGGGACTGAAATTAGTGGATATGGGGGGCTTTGGGGTTATGCTAGGAATAGTTAAAGTAGAGAGGAGTAGAAGAGTTTGCAAAGGGGTGACCCTATTCCTTTCAGAGGTTCAAGTATTAAAAGATTTTCTGTCATTAGATTTAGGGAGCACATATGTGATATAGGGAATGAAGTGGTTGCGGAAGTTGAGGAAGACCAAGATTGATTAAAAGACTCTAATGATGGAGTGCCAGCCAGTTCAGAGGTTGCCTCCTCCGCGGGAACATGAGCATGTTACCATCATGAAGGAAAGTGTCTCACCTATCAATGTTTGTCCATGCCATTATCCCTAAATCCAGAAGAATGAGATCAAGAGCTTGATTAGGAGATGCTGGAGTCAGGGATCATTTGACCCAATGTCAGTCAATTTTCTAGTCTAGTGCTATTCTTGAAAAAGAATATGGCAATTGGAGGTTTTGCATGGACTGCCGGATGTTAAAAAAGGAGAATGTGCCATACAAGTTTCCTATTCTAGTGATTGATGAGTTGTTGGATGAGTTTTATGGAGCAGTGCTTTTCCCAAAGAATGATATGAAGCCAAAATACTATTTGATCTAGATGAGGCTCGAGGATGTTCCCAAGATGGCATTTAAGACTCATGAGGTACACCATGAGTCAATGTTTAAAATTGCGTATTCGGGTATTGAGGCGTTTTTCATTCGTGAGGCGAGGCGTAAGCCTCAAGGCGTTTTGAGGCGTAAGCCTCAAAATCAAAAGATTGCGTAAACATAAAATGATAAATTTTTTATATACCAATGAGTGAATAATATAAAACATAAAAAAGCATAAGATATATATATATATATATATATCATGAGGCGTAAGCCTCATGCCAGTGAGGTGAGGCAGGCCTCAAGGCGAGCCTCAACTAAGTTGAGGCGCAAGCCTCATAAAAAAACTCGAGGCATTTTTTACTGGAATTGCGCAAAGGCGAGCCTCATATTGCGCAATTTTAAAACATGCCATGATTTTTTAGCGATGCCTTTTGGCCACACTAATACCCCATCTACTGTACAATCCCTAATAAATAGGATATTCCAACCATATCTATGAAGGCTTGTGTTAGTCTTCTTTGATGATATTTTGATTTATAGCAAGACTGAGGAGGAGCACTTATAAAACTTGGGATTGATGTTATCCACATTGCGGGACCACCACTTGTATGTCAATTTGAAGAAATGCTCATTTGTGCAGCCTAGAATAGAGTATTTGGGATATGTGGTATCACAAGAAAGAGTAGCAGCTGACTAAAGAAAAATCAAGGCCATGCTGCGATGGCCAAATACCTAAGAGCTTGAGGGAGTTAAGAGGGTTCTTGGGGCTTACAAGCTACTACAGAAAGTTTGTGAAATGATAGAGTTCAACAGATTGGTTTTCGGCTGAAAAGTTAATGAAGGATAATTTCAATTGGGGCAAAGTAGCTACCAAGACCTTTAAGGAGTTGAAGAAGGTGATAACTAATGTGTCATTATTAATCCTTCCCGACTTCAACCAGCCTTTTGTGGTGGAAACGAATGCTTCAGGGTATAGGAGTTGTACTTATGCAGGAATAGAGATTAGTGGCTTATTTCGGTTAGGTGTTTACTGCCAAGACGAGGCTCAAGTCCGTTTACAAGAGGAAGATGATGGAAATTGTGCAAAGTGGCAACCCTACTTGTTGGGATGACACTTCATTGTCAGGATTGATTAAAGAAGCTTAAAATTTCTTCTAGAGCAAAGGATTGTTCTAGAAGAGCATCAAAAGTGGCTTTCGAAACTACTGGGTTATAATTTCGAAATTTAGTATCGACCGAGGATAGAGAACAAGGCCGCATATGAGTTATCCAAGTGTATGAGGGATCCCGACATGATGGCACTATATGTTCCCTTAGTTGTGGATTGGGAGGCTTTGAGACGAGAAAGTCAGCAAGATGAAGAATTGGAGAAAATTAGGAGAGCTTTATTGGGGAATAAGTATAGCCATCCAGGCTATACCTTAGTTGATCAGAAACTATTATACCAGGGGTGAATGGTGATACTGAGGACATCGTAAAGATACATGGCGATGGCAGAATAATATTGGGTTGTAATGCAAAAAGATGTGGAGGATATAGTGGCCAGCTGCGATATATGTCAAAGGCACAAATACATGGCGATGACTTCAAGAGGACTTTTTCAACCTCTAGCTATGCCTGAGGTATGGGAAGAGATAACTATGAATTTCATTGAAGGTCCACCAAAATCGAAGGGATTTTGGTGATTTTGGTAAACTGGATAGGCTGAGCAAGTATGCTCACTTTATTCCCCTAAAACACCCATACACAACAGTTTCAGTGGTAGCAGCATTTATTCAAGAGGTGGTCCACTTACACGGAATTCCATAGTCCATAATATAAGATAGAGACAAGGTGTTCATGAGCCACTTTTAGAGAGAGTTATTCAAGATGCAGAGTATCATTTTGAAGAGAAGTACAATATACCATCCATGCACTGATGGACAGACTCTCCTCACTTGGTATACTATGGGACTAAGAGCACTCCAATTTCATAAAGATAACAACAATTGGAGGAACATGATAGGCTATTGGGAGAGCTAAAGGGGAACCTTGCTGAGGGTACAACAAACTACAAAAAAGTAGGTTGATTGGCATAGAAGGGGTGTGCAATTCGAGGTGGGTGATAAAGCGTATTTAAAAATTCGAATCTACAGACAAAAGACCTTAACTCGAAGAAGAAATGAAAAGTTATCTCAACAGTACTATGGGCCTTAGGCCATCCCAACTGAATGCTAAACCATCGTTTGTCGTCTGTGAGCTGCTCCACTTGAACATGAAAACTTGCACCATTCTTGCGACGTGAACAGTGTGATGCCAATAATGGTGTCACACTGTTCACAAAGCCATTTTTTTAGGTTAGAGAAATAATTTACTCAAAATATTCTTTTTTGGTGTTATGAAATGGAGTTCGGTTGGAGATAAGTCACTACATTTTTTAGTGTTATTGCATTTTGGAGTAGAAAATGAGTTTTTCGATTGGAGATGCCCCTATGAGGTTGTGGAGAGGATTAGTGTCATGGCGTATCATTTGCAGCTACTCTCTACTTCCACCATACACCCAGTATTCCATGTGTCCAAGCAAAAAAAAGTTATTGGTGACCACAGTCCATCAACGATGTTGTCGATGACCATGACAAAAGAAATGGAGGTGATCCTGGAGCCAAGGGAAGTGAAAGGATTACGCTCGATAGCAGGAGGAGCTAGAGAAGTGTTGATCCAGTGGAAGGATCTGCCCAACTATGAAGCGACATGAGAACCGTACCAGATGATTCAATAACAGTTTCATTCATTCCACCTTGAGAACAAGGAGGCTCTTTGGAAGGGGAGTATTGACGGACCAGCTGAGCCTGTGGGCCGCACTAGTGTGGGTGGTGGGCAAGGAGAGATGGTGGCTCAAAGGGGATTAATTCTACCTTTAATTACTTACCATAGATTGGCATAGAAAATCAAAATTGGGAGAAAATTATGAATGTTTATTTAAGGAAAGAAAGAGGGCTTATTTGAATTCAGATTTGCAAGGGAATTATGAAGATTTATTTAGAGAAAGAGAGATAATTTGAAATCAGATTTGGGAGGCAATTAGGGTTGTTTTATTTTCATTATGTTAATTGTGTTTTAAATTCAGACTTCCACATGGCAAAAGGTCAAATGTGGTGCGAGGATAGAATTAGTGACGAGTGCAAGTCCCTTCCTAGTTTGTTCAAGAACAGTCCACATGGGGCACTCAGTCATTTGGGTAATATGATAAAGAGTAATAGTGTCCAGTATGGCAGTTTAAGCTATAAGTTCTTCTTCCGCATAGAATTGAGGGCACCCTTCAATTCCCATTTAACTCTTACTGTTTAAGTGTAGCTCTCGGTTTTTAACCTTATAGCAAATCAATCTACAAGTATTCCTATAATAAACCTTTCTTAACGACTTCAAAGTTCAATAAATCATGTTGGCCTATCCGTTTCGAATTAATTTCAACTCCCTATCTCAGCTTTCTACTTATATACACCCCATCAATCTTCTATTATGTTATGCAATGATGAATTTGATCATCTACTATAAAATACCATTTTCAACTATATACTCTCAACTTATTCATAAGTCTAACTAAGCATATCATCAGTCAGGAGAAGCTCCTATGCAAAAACATAAGCAAAGATCACTTGTTTAAAAGTGGGAACATAATTAAAGCATAACTCACCAGTTCTGGAACATATTCCATTGGCCCTTTCACCTTCAAACTCATGATCTTAAACTTAACTTTGTTTTTCTGATCAAGCAAGGGCTTCTCATTATTCTCTGGATGCTCCACAAACTTGAAAACTGCGAATTTAAGTAATAGATGAAGAATCACGGCACTTGTATTGCAATTCCTTTTATCATCAATCAATGATATAGAACCAAACGCCTAAGTAATAGATGTAAATGGGTTAACAGGAACGAGATGTAGAAAAGGATTCAGAAAGCAAACCTCCATGATAATGATTTCACTCACTTAAAAACAAAGAACGAAGTTTCAAAAAGAAAATGCATAAAAAGTAAAGCACAGTACCAGTTGCTATAATACTCTCTCCGGGAGAAAGTATTGCGCCAGGAGGACGCATAAAACAACTTTTTGGTGCAGTTGTTTGAAACTACAAGAAGAAAAAAATTTAACGTTAACAATCTATAGATTAAGATAATGTAACAATACAACATATTGTAAACAAAAAAACTGCCGTTACTTTTTGCAAAATATGAAAACAGAATTATTTCTTCTTTATTCTAAAGGGTAACTAAGTTACCTTGAACGCTACATAGGACTTGCTAGTGTTCTTTATTCTGATTGCACTTCTAACCTGCTTGCCAGGTTCATCTTCAAATGAAGGGATAAAAGTTAATTAAAAAAATCAAGAATTTTAAAAAGCAAAATAATGAACATACAAATAGAAGGCAAACTATTCCGATGGACTAAATTTTTCACTAGAAAGCAAGTGACCCGGTTCTATGCAAATGATTCTACTCAAAAGCTAATCTAATAGAAGGAAATTTAACAAAAGAGACATGATTTACCCAGGCACTCCTTAAGATGAACATGATAAACTCCACAGAAGCAATATAATCATTCAATGATTAAAAAGGAACGATAATATATGCAATGATTAAACACAAAATTTGCTAGATTCGTCATTAAACTCAATGATTAAACACAAATAATAGTTCCACAATAGATATAGCCAAGATGATTTATGACTTAATTAGGTGCATTCAAAAATTTAGACATAATAAACCCTCCAGAACTAGCAATCACCAAAAAGAGAAAAACATAAATGTGATCCTCTACAATTCAAGCTTCTAGTGTCTTTCTTCCACCGCATACCATAGGCAATAAACAAAAAAAACAAAGCAAAACAAAACAAAACCAGACATTTCAGCAGCATTCAGCGAAGTCCTAACAACATCAATATCAAAGAGATTCCACTGAACAATAACATGACCGCATTTAAAACAATTCAGTAAAGTCGAAAACCAGCAATCAAACAAACAAATAGATCGAGTATGAAACCAAGTACAACCAACCTAGAAAATTAAAAAAAAACCTAATTCACCCAAAAAAACCTTCACCAAAACCCAATCTTTTATGCATCATTAAGAAAATCACTTCGAAATTCCGACCACTAACATGGGAAGTAAAGTTTATTAGGCGGATCGAGCCGAAGCCGGCGCCGCGTCGGCAAAATTGATCTCGCCACTGAAGAGACCGAGTTCGCACCGGAACTCTGCTGCGCTCTCGGCCCCAAAACCCCGCCGAGCTGACCACTACCATGATGGTGCTGATGATGGGTCAACGACGACGACGAGTTCGTCGAAGAAGTCCCACCGCCACCTCCGGCACCAGAAGTGCCGGCCTGCCAGAACGGAAGCCGGCATAGACCCCAGAGTTTTCCATCTGACGACCCCGCCCTGCCATCAGCGACTGCCATCTGTACTGCTTCCTCCTCTGCTCAAGCTTGGTTCGAATCAGTGAAGAGGATCCGAGTGAGGGTACGGTGATTGTTCTTTAGTGGCGTGCTGTCGTCTCCTCGTGGTTAATCTGATTCAAGAAGAAGCAGGGAAGAAGAAGAAAGGCTGGAGCTTCGAAGGGTGGGCGGCTACAAGACGGATTCCATGGAGATTGCAGATTCGCAGAGTTTAAAGAGTGGATTTCACGTCCGTGGATTTGATTATTTTAATGCTACTTTAAGTACCCCTAAGCTCAGTTTACTTTGATCATCACTTTTTATCGGCTGCCAGTCTGCGACCATATTATTCAGATTATATTCTCTCTCTGATAATTGAAATAAAATCGTACAATTTTTTAATAAAATTTTGATCAAATTTAACAGTAAATTAAACCTATCACATGACTTTCTCTCTCTACGAAGGACTCTTTCTACCAAAGCCTTATATGGGGTTCTCGTTGGGTACCCATTCGGTACCCATGTTTTACTCGGATGGGCTTCGCCCACCCATGATGACTTTCGGGATGTCGTACCCACTTATACTCACCCACTTTCTGTACTTTTTGAATGCAATCCGCCACGGACTAATGGTCTCGAGGCTTGTTGCCCTTTGCTCTGATTGCAAACTTTCAAGCCGCGTATTAGAATTTACCATAGTTTCGGCGTGGTTAAGTGATGCACATTACGTAATGAGGATTGCAGTAATATAAGATATATGGTGATTAGCAATGTAAATTGATTTATCCTGCGATGTTGAATACCCACTCAAATTCACCCAAAAGGCCATGGCAGTACCCATACTCACCCATACCCATTACATGGGTGAGTGTGGATATTGATACCCAATGCAAAGCTCTGTTCTCTACTAAGGATGTCAAAAAATGAAATGAATAGGCAATTCATTCAAAAAAATTTCAAGTTCGGGTTGTAATAACCCAAACTTTTAATCATCGAGATATTATCTGTTTTGGCCAAAGAGCCTAGCGGTTTTGTCATGTTGGAGTAACTTTCCAGTAGGTCACTCATCCCAAAATTGACCCGAGATGAGCATACTTAACTATGAAGTTTTTAATAAAAATTACAACCACTACCCCAAAAAACACCTCAATGATTAAGAGTTTAGTTTTTTTACTTTAAGGGTACATGGGTTGACCCGTTTAATAAACAAATAGTGTCCTGATTTACAATTTTGACTCATTTATTAAATGAGTTATATTCGAGTACATTTGATAACTCAATTAATTTTTATTCCAAAATGCCATATTTTTTTTTCATAAAACTTTTTGCTTGTTGGCATAATTTTTTTTTTAAAAAAAGTTAGTAAGTTATGAAAAAAATTTAAATTAAAGCTAGTTATCGTTTTGGTTACTAGCGGGTTAGATTTGAATCTTTTTTTTTTTTTTTGACAACCCTATTAAATGGAACAATTATTACGTCCTCCGACCGGATGCTTCCGAACCAAATAAAAGTTCTATTAAATGGGTCAGAGTTTCGATTGAGTGAATTTGGGTTGGTTGAATTTCAATGTCTTTTATAAATGAATTTGTATTCCATTTTCTTGAACTTAAATATTTATTTTACAAATAAATTTAGTTTTTGATCTTCTTATCAAATGACAAATTTCTTGTCGGTTTATTATTACTGCCCATTTAAATATAGGTGAATTTATAAAAAACTTATCTAACTCAATTTATTTAACTAACTTATATTTAATATTTATGAATTTTAAAACTGAAGATTTTTATTATGAAATAAATGTAATATATTACATAATATATTTATATTGCAAATTATGTTTATTGATATAACTAAATAATATAATATGAATTACATAAATTATAAGATATTTATTTTAATATTCTAACTATTTATTTAAATTTATATTATATACTAGATTTTATATAATATCTAATGTTAAAAATTCATTAAAAAAATTTATGTTATCCCACTAACAATTCTATAATAAATCTTCAGTCATATAGTAATTCAGGTTAAAAAGAATTATGATTTATAATCATCTAATAAATATAATATAATAATTATTATCAAATTTTTGTCCAATTTTAAGTTATTTGTTTTGCAAGATATATACCAGTGTCAAGTTATTTGTCTTTATATATTTCATTTGTCCAATTTGTAAACAGAAAATTGAATAAGATTTAGAGTTCTATTTTCAAATAAATAAAGACGAATATTTTTAAGTAATATATAGTTTTAATAATTAATAACTCGGCTACTTACATCAGCAGAAAAAAAAAAAAATAATCAATCATTACACAAAAAATTTTAAAATAATAATAGTAATAAGTGCATGCATAATATATGACAAACTACAAATAATCTATTGATTTAAAATAATATAACATCAACTACCTTTTAATTTATATCATAAGATTAACATCTAATACCAAAATTAATATATTTAAAAAATATAACAATTTTGTTTTTGCAATCATCATCAATGTAGCTTAAGGCTTCATTTGATACAGTTTTTTTATTGTTTCTTAAAGTAGTTTTTTAGTACAAAAACTTTCTTTTTTTTTACCAGAAAGCCGTTTTAAGAAGCAGGAAAAAAGTTGTCCTAAACGAAAAATTATTAGGTCCGGACACCGGACGTAGTTTTACATCTGGATTCCAATAATATTTTGTCACGTGCTTTTACTCTTTATCGCGCGGCCCGACGACCCGACCTAGGCCGGAACCCGGTATTGCTATGTTCAGGTATTGCTAAGTATTATTCGGTATTGCTTGGCAATAACGAGAAATACCGTTCTGTCAAGGCCAATACCTAACAATACCGAGCAATACCTAGCAAAATCAGGGTATTGCTAGGTATTGCTCGGTATTGGTCTTGACAGATTGGTATTTCTCGTTATTGCTGAGCAATACCTACCAATACCCCGGTCTGCACAAATCAGCAAATACATAGCAATACCGGGTCCGGGTCTACGGGCCACGCGATAAAAAGTAAGAGCACGTGACGGCATGTTATTAGCGTCCGGATGTAGAGCTACGTCAGGTGTCCGGACCTAATAATTTTTCGTCCAAAACAAAGTCTAAGATTTTATTTGGGATAGCTTTTTTATTGCTTCTTAAAATGATTTTTTATTACAAAAAATTAAGTTTTATATTAAAAAACTATTTTAAGAAGTAGGAATAAAATATCCTAAATAAAGTCTAAAATTGGAGGTTTGGTATTGACTAGGCCTTAATAATTGTTTTAGGTAGGAGAGTTGAATCGCTGGCTCGCGTTTGAATCAAAGCTAATTGAAAAGGAATTCTGAATGATAGAAAATTGGAGGGATGCTGAAAGATCCAACTGCTTGATACCAACTTAGGAGAGAAGTGGATGTGATTCAGTTCCAGTTGGTCATCAGTTCTCATCATGACGTTATAATAAATAATTTATTTTTATATACAGTTTTGTCATGATATAAATAATTTTTTTTAATTTAGTTAATTTGAGATTAAGGTGATTTATATACAGTTTTATCAAATGCAGCATTAATTTTAGTGTAAATTTAGGTTTCATTTGTGCCATATTTCTTACTGATTTGTAAAGCTAGTATAGAAAAAGTAATATTTTAAAAGTATTGTAGAAAATAGTTTTTTAGTATAAAAATTTTTTGAAGCAACGAAAAAATAAAGGTCAAATAGAAATTATGAATGCAGTCTGAAAACAAAAATGTATGAAAGTTATCTCAAACAAAACATTAATATTAATTATGTCCATCATTATAAAAATTCATCGAGGTATTCAAACCAAATTATACATATTAAGTTTCGCTTTTTGCAATGTATACTGAATATTTGTTATAAATTTACCATCATAATTATTTTTGATAACTTTGAGCCATAGGTTTTATTTGGGACAACTTTCTTACTGCATTATAAATCAGTTTTTTAGCACAAACGTTTTTTGAGCTATACTTTAAATACTAAAAAAAATATTTTAGAAAGCAATAAAAAAGTTGTTACAAACGAAATTTAATGTTAAAACAATAAGAAATCTTAGTTTTCTTATTATTTTTTAAAGCAATTTTATTGTACGAAAATATCTTGAAAAGTAACGAAAAATCTTAGTTTTCTTATTAATTAAATGTAATAAATCTTGTAATTTTAAATTTAGTAAATACCGTGAAAATTAAATTCTAAAATTTATATAACATTTTAATATTAATTTCTATTAAATTCTACAAATATTTGGCCATATTTTAAGGATTCAATTTTTAATTATTTATTAAATTCTATCAAAAATTGAAACAAATGTGAAGCCTTAATTAATCAAAAGATAAATTATTAAAACTGCATCATTATATAAACAATAAAAAAAATCTAATTCAATAATTTTTTATTGTTTTCTGAAATAATTTTTTAATTTTAAAAAATAATTAAAAAAAAACTGTCTCAAATAAAACGTACGTATAATAAAATGTAGATTTCCAACGGCACAATTCACACAGAGAGTTTTTTAATGGCAAAGCTGATTAGATAACCTAATAAATATCAAACAAACAAAGCAGTGACAAATAGTTGATAGAAGTAGAGATGCCTTTGTCGAGGAGATCGCCTGACGTTTGCTGATGAGGTCGAGATTCCTTATTAAGATTGTGATTATTGAATATTAATAAGGTTTGTGTAGAATATTTTTTTTTTTTTTGGGGAATTAAGGACTAATCAGAATTAATCTGAATGATGTAATGCATTTTAGTTTTTTTTAAATATAATATTACAATAATGTTCTATTTAATTAATATATAATGTTTAAAATTAGGATGTCGAATCATTAAATATTTTAAATATAATTTTCGAGATATAGTATTTTGATTAGTTATAAGATATTATATTAAAAAATAATAAATCAATTTGAAATTTTAAAAATATAAATAAAAGTTAAATTATTGGTACCTCTCTCTCTATTATAACATATGATACGTCATCGTTAAATAATAAATAAATAATATATATATATATATAATTTATTTGAATTTCATATAAATTTTAACACAGTTTTAGAATAAAAGATTCCAAACATTCTTTTAGGGAGAAGTTATTACGTGTGGAGGCCGAACACAAATAATCATCCGATTTATCTTTGTGAATTTTAGTATTCACCACTGCGTTTTTACAGTTCATAGAGACAACCTAACAGTTCTCTGCGCCTAGTCTCCACACATAATAATCTCTCATTTATTAGGCTTCACTTGAGACAACTTTTGACTAATATTTTATTCGCAGCTT